CATTTTCTTTTATGTTATTCAAAAAAGCAAACTGTGACAAATGAAGGGGGATAACTTAGGTAACTTTACATAACCAGTATTTAAACATTTACTTCCCCTTAATAATTCATGATCAATATTAATAGAATTCATTTTTTTTGGAAAAGAAAAACCCACACAAAACAGACCAATACCCAAAACAACTAACACTTGACTTAATTATAAGGATTAGTTTTGTCAAAACATGTTATCATGGTATTTATATTTTGTTATGTGTTGAAAAACAGATCAATTTAATTTGACAAGTTTCAAATATTAATAGATAAATTTAAAAAATATATGTATATATGTACAATTTCATATTCACATATAACTTTACAAATCTACATGATGGATATACAATGCGCATTTAACAGTAACAATGATACTTTTTTCATTTTTTTAAACAACAGAAAAAACCGAGAAAGAGAGTAAAGCTTACATGTCAGTATATTATAACAAACTATCCCTCAATTTAAAAGCTTTATCACAGAATATAGCTAAATTTTTCAGTTCTTTCTTGCGACCAGTTTGCATTAATGAAATGAATTTAAACATACTTGTGTTGCAATAATAGTATCTTGGAATGTATTGATTTCTTAACTCAGAATATATCGGACATTTAAGGATAAAGTGAAATTCATCTTCTATATCATTCATATAACATAAAGTGCACTTTCGTTCATTCCTTGGTACATTATTATGTCTTCCTAACTCGATATTAAGTTTGTGTGAGGAGAGCCTTATTTTTTGCTAAAACATTTCTATATTTTACATTTTCAATATATTTTATGTATAACGATTGTTCAAATGTGATCTTATATTCCCTATACACATCTAACAATGATGAAGATTGAATACCACCATTCCAACAACTTATATAAATATCCCGTAATCTATTCCTAAAAATAGGTACAAATATTTTTATATTAACAGAATCGGGATATAACCAGACTTCATTAAATCCTGCTGACTGAAGAATGTTATATGGTCTCTTTACATAACGCAATACTACTACAGAAGACCAAGTATGTTCACATTGATTGAATTATTAAGTACTGAAAAAAAGTCTGAATTAATAGGTTTAGGTAAATATATGTATTATGCTACTAAGCATCGCATTGAATCACTAAATGCTCTGTAAATCAATGTATAAATTTGTCTCGTTATATTTAAGAGTGATATTTTTTATTCTTGAAATTACTTGATAATGTGTCTATTACGAAACATTGTTAAATGGAATCCTATCACAACATATGATTAAGTCTAAAATCCACTTTTTATATATTTAAAAATATAAACGCTTTATAATAGCTAAGCTTACTTTAGTACTAAATGCTGCTCACGCTCATTCTACAAAAACATGTAAATTGAATATGTTGTGCTACAACTTTGTTCATGTACCATGATATTATGTTAAATTGTACTATATACAAATGTGTGTGAAATGACTATGTACTGAATGTATACGTCAATAAAGTATCTATCTATCTTTATTTGTATTTAAGAATGCTGTCAATCGGTCATTAAGGATAGCAGTAAAAACTTTACCTAAACAGCTAATAATAGTAATAGATCTGAAATTTTCAGGTTAAGGGGTGATCCTTTTTTTATATGGGTTTAATGGTTCCAAGTAACCATGAATCTGGCAAAATGCCAATGTCAAAAATTCTGTTAAAAAATGTACAATAAATTGGTACCATTAGATCGATGCTTCGTACTCTTGAGATATTCGTTTAAAATATTGTCTTGGTGAGAAGCCGCCTTTGAGCATTCAAAGTTTAAAGTAGCTTTGGCTTATAGAATTGTCAATAAATGCACAAAATCACAAATTACCCTGATGAATATCATTTTAATCAATGAAACTGCTATTTTTAGCGATGTACATGTAGATTACCGAATACTTCAGAGCGTAGTACATAAATAAATCTGACTGTCGAGTAGTGGAATATACATTATATACATGTCGGTCTGTTTTGGCGAGAAGATTTTCGCTAAATTATTTACATCAGTGTTATCGTGAACAAAATACCCCGGATTACAAACCCAAGAATGGAAATTCAAAATTTAGAATTATTTGCTTCTATTCAGGCTTTCTTCGTGGTGCAGGGGTAACGCGCTCGTTTAGGGCGTGAAATGTCTGGGGTTCAAATCCCAGTTGAGGCAACTATTTTTTAGTGCCTTTTTAAGGAAGTAGCCACGATACGCAAGGATAAAGTGTGGCTGTCATAAAAATTAACATAAATGATTTTTTGATGCAACTCTACTGTAGTCATGCAAAGTTCCGTATATATGTATTTAACTCAAACTCTATTTGAAAGACCCTGCTCAAACTGTTATAGTAAAAAATCTAAACGTAGTAGCTGCATCTCGGTGCCCTGTAATATGAATTATAGTATATAAAATAAACATTTACAGGAAAATACATATAGATTGCAAAGATCAGAAAATACCGCAGAGCTTGCAGCCCTTTGATTCATGAGATAAAATAACGTGCACCTGTCGTTGTACGTTCTCATAGTTATCTCCCGTTTATGTTCTTCTTTCCCGCCAGCCAACGGAATTCTGGGAACACGTGAATTTTTCAAGATGGCAGAAAAAGAAGATGAACCCACTCCGGCAGAAGATATTGTTGTCACCAAGTATAAAATGGCCGGTGACATGGTCAATGGTATTAAGAAACTTTTCAATTTGTAAAACTCTGTATTGATGATTATTATGAAACAATTTAACTGTGTTAAATACGAAAAGTCAATAACATTATGTCCCGGCGTCTCGAAACAATAAAATGAACTATTTCACAACACTGTTGAAAGAAGAATATTTTTAAAGCGGTTCAGAACTGATCACTAAATAGGTGAGAAGATGTGTAAGCCGCCGGATAGGACAGTCCGAATGGTATTCCGAGGGTCCCGGGTTCGAGTCCCGGTCAGGATTCAGTGTCGGCTTGGCCCTGAAATGTACTCGGCCCCCGAGTCAGCTCGGCCCTTTTCCAACCACAACATAAAAAATAATTATCTTAATCTGAAATGGGTAATTATTTGTGCTTGAAGTCAAAGGGCGCCAAAGTGTAGATAGTATGCCTAAACAATAGGCGAATATTTTTTAAATTAGGTACTTTTTAACTAAGCGTTGAGTCGTTCTATCGACACATTTTCATATATTAATACTTTAGCGGCACAAAATAATACTGTATCAATACATTCATATGTGTTAAATGTTTCACAAAGCTGCAATAACACCACATACTGTTGTGAAAATCTGTCACATTTCGCACTCCGCGCGTTCGGCCATCTCTCATTCTGTCCACCTATATCCGATGTGCGATTCCGCCCATGCGCGCGACGAGACTTTAAGCTTAACAAAAGTGTCCGATCCTTGTAATATAAATCCGTGATTTTAATAAACAACCTTTTTGATTGGTTATTTCATCAGTTAGGTCAAGGGTCCCTATTGTATCATTACGCCAAACTGTATTTAGGTTCGGTTTGGCGCCTTTTAGTTACAGTTTTTGTCAAGACACGTACTCAGTCGGTTGTTTCTTCAAATTTGCCACTCCCTCCCGACCTTTTGTGTTTTCAGCTCATCTGTCACAAAGTGACAGGGTGAGCTTTTGTGATCGCTTTTCGTCCGGCCGTCCGTAAACTTTTACTTTAAATGACATCTCCTCAAAGACCACTAAGCCAATTTAATCCAAACTTCACAGGAATGTTCCTGTGTTGGTCACCTTTAAAAATTGTTCAAAGAATTTAATTCCATGCAGAACTCTGGTTGCCATGGCAACCAAAAGAAAAAAACTTTAAATATCTTCTTTTAAAAAACCCAAAGAGCTAGAGCTTAGATATTTGGCATGAAAAATCTTCTAGTGAGTGTCTACCAAGAATTATGTCATAACCAGAAACTCGAAATAAGAGATAATCGATTTTAATAGAGCAGGAAGACACGTTATTAATTCACAAAGGCATAAAATGAATAATACACAAAATGATTATCCTAAATAATTCATACTACACTGTATCCTCGATAACTCGCTCTTCACTATAACGCTGATCTCAGTAGAGCGCTCATAGACCTTGGCTCCCAAAAAAACAAAAACAAAAAACTTCCCCCCCAAAAAAAACACTATTTTTTTTTTAAGTAGACTTAGATTTATAGCGCGCTATAACGCTTGTTCAATTTGATAGCCAAGTACAATAAACAATTGTTATTAGGACATTTATGATCACCAAAGGTGTGAAAAACATGCCCAGGTAAGCGTTTATCCGCTCTTTTGTTGTTTTACCTGTCTTCAGATTGTTTCCAAAATCTCAAATTCATATCATAACTGTTACATTGGCATTCGGTGGTGAGTATAAATAAACTAAAATTCACACACATATCTTTGACATGTAAACCTCGCTGAATTAAATAACCCACAAGCCCAAAATCAATTTAAAATCCTGCACTGTAAATAGAGCGGCCATGACAGGAAGTAATTGGCGTTTGATTTACTAGGGGACACAACTAAAGCTGGACTGTAAATTACAGTGTTATTTACAGTCCAGCTTTAGTTGTGTCCCCTAGTTAATCAAACGTCATTACAGTAATGGCTACCTGTTTACACTACATTCATGATTTATAATTTTCTTTCGAAAGTTTTTCCTTTCTTTTAAATATAATTAGTATTATTTGTGAATATAATATATGTTTACATCATTGAATGGTTTTAGAAAAAGATAATGTCGATATTCATTGAACAGTGAGTAAGAAAATCAGCGTTATATATATATGCAGTGGGTGGGGTAATGTGGTAATTTCGCAATGAGCGTTCTAATGAGAGCCTCGTTAGAACGCGGTGTTGAGACATTGGACCCCAACATGAGCGTTTTAATGAGGCTGAAAGGTAGTTATGACAATTCTATTATAACAGATAGTCACATGATGAATAACATTACTTCATCGAATTAAGTAACAGTGACCATTAACAGCTAAATAACTAATATGAATACTACAAATCCGCCAGAAATAAAGACATATAAAAGACAATACAACCTAAATAATACAAGACTATACAAATATACATGAAGGCATTATACACACAAATGATTAACCCCTGCATATACGTGTAACAGTATACATTGAAAGCTAAAACAAAAGTCAACAAATGCACATGTACATAAAGCGGAAGAAATTCATTAACAAAAGAACATGGCAAAAGAAACAAACAAAATACAAGCATACCATACACACAAATTAGAAAAAAGGGTGGGAGGGAGTGGCATCTGTAAAGAGAAAAAACCAACTCTATAACATAAACAACTTATAATGTCTCAAACATTTTGGATAAAATGTTAGCCTTATCAGACAAATTCAATTCCAAATAAGATTTATATGCATCAGATTTCCAATCACCTAAATGTGGATAATGCTGCTTAATATAAAACAGAGTCAGATTGATCTTGAAGTTATTCCCAGATTTAGTTTTGTGTTTTTTACTCTTAACCCTAACATTAGACTTCTTTTGGGTTAAAGATGTATCAGAATGACTATCTTCTTCTGAAGAAGAACTTGATTCGGTAGTATCACAAGAATCTGTACCAGAAGACTCGGAGCTAAACAAACCCAAATTTGCTAATTCCTTCTTAGCTGACTTTTTAAGACCAGGCACTTTCCGTAAAGTGTCAATATTAAGCAACATACCTTCTTTTGAAGCACCTAATACTTTGGACGAAGTCTGTTTACTTGCCGATGAAGCACTCAAACCTGCGTGTTTGCCCTTCCTGTCAACTTTACTCTTCTTCTCACAGGTTGAACCAGACGCAGACAATGATTTTTCAAGGTCCTGGATGTAAGCTTTCTTTTCCTCCACCTGTCTTTTAAGCATCTCTAGCTCATTTCGCTCCTGTAATCGAGCCTGCTTCTCATCCAAGGCCGACAAACGAGCCAACAAACGTTCCTTTTCGACATCACCCGGAAGTAACTTTGACGGTGACACAGTAACATTCTCCCTGGGTAAATTGTACAATTGAACGGGAGAAATCGATAACACCTCTGGAATCTGTGGCTTCTTAGCCGGTGTGGTAACTCTGCCTTCGTTCATCGCTTTATAATCAAGAACTTCCTTGTTTCTAGCGGACTTTCTTTCACTCATGATTCCAACAATAATCAAATTCAAAATATACCTGTCCTTCGCACAAAAAGGCTACAAGCTGATCCCCCAAACAGCTGACTACCAGTAATAAATAGTCCCACTCACTACATCATGAACGTAGAAATAATGAAAAGAAAATATCTGAGAACAAAGACGGGCACAGTGAAACCCTTCCACACAAATCAAATTTTTCCTAAAGCGTCAATCAACAAACGTGTCTTACAAAACTGTAACCAAAATAGCGCCAAAAACGACTATTTATAAGAAAAGGCGTAGTAATACAAATACTATGGAAACTGTCAAGCGTGAAATTAACCTTTAACCTAACAAGGACCAATGAGAAAGCCTGTTATATATCCATAATTAAAAGATTTTATTTAGCAACAAAATGCTTCATTTGTTCAAATAAAAGCTCTGGGGTTAAAATTGGCTCAGCCCCAGGGGGTCATTGATTTTCCCTATATATGCATATAGTAAAAAACCTAAAAAATCTTCTTTTAAACAACCCAAAGAGCTAGAGCTAAGATATTGAGCATGAAACATCTTCTAATGAGTGTCTACCAAGTTTGTTCAAACAAAAGCCCTGGGGTCAAAATTGGCCCGCCCAGGGGGTCATTGATTTTCCTATGTGCATATAGTAAAAACTTAAAAAATCTCCTTTAAAAGAACTCAAAGAGCTAGAGCTAACATATTTAGCATGAAACATGTTTTAATGGGTGTAAACCAAGTTTGTTCAAATAAAAGCCACTGGGGTCAAAATTGGCCCCGCCCCGGGGGTCATTGATTTTCCTTATAAGTGTATAGCAAAAACTTAAAAAATCTTCTTTGAAAAAACCCAAATAGCTAGAGTTTAGATAGTGAGCATGAAACATCTTCTAGTAAGTGTCTACAAAGATTGTTCAAATAAAAGCCCTGGGGTCAAAACTGGCCCCGTCCCAGGGGTGTCATAGTTTTTAACTTTTTAACTATATGTGTATAGTAAAAACTTAAAAAATCTTCTTTGAAAAATCCCAATGAGCTAGAGCTTAGATGTTTAGCATGAAACATCTTCTTATGGGTGTCTACCAAGTTTGTTCAAATAAAAAGCCTTTGGGTTAAAATTGCCCTGCCAGGGTGGGGGGGGGAAGAGTGGGGGAAAGTCATTGGGTGTCTTCCAAGTTTGTTCAAATAAAAGCCCTGGGGTTTAAACAGGGGGGCCTATATACAGGTGAGCGACCTCAGGGCCATCATGGCCCTTGTATTTTATGTAGCTTCCATTATTCATAAGTTAAATCAGTTATAACAGTATTTAGTTGTACTTCCAAACTTATACACTGGGTTGATGTCTGTTGTATTCCAGGTATATTGAAGGAGGTTATAGGAAAGTGTGTAGATGGAGCATCTGTCCTTAGTATATGTGTGTTTGGAGACACCAGATTAAATGAAGAGACGGGAAAAGTGTTCAAAAAAAGATAAAAAAATGAAAAAAGGTATTGTAATGTGTTTTAAAAATAGTTTTTGTTTTTGTCAAGAGTGCTGACACAGTTTATAGAGGTTTTAGTTTTGAGTTCATCTTCTTCCTTCAAAAAAAAATTCAGTTAATTCAGTTTTGTCAGAGTTATTGCCCTTGGTCCATTTTCAACTTGTGTCGCGAGAAAAAAGGCCCAAATAGTATTTGACCTAGAGTCATGAAACTACAGAATTATTGGTTAGCAACTTAGCATGGTGAAGTTGTGCGTATGGGTGTGATTGTTGTTGATTTATTCAGTAATTGTAGAGTTATTGCCCTTGACTTGTAAAAACTTGCAATTTTTCAACTTGTGTTGAGCGTACCCCAAAATTTATTTGATGCATGATTTTCATGGAAAAAAAATTACACATATAAATGATTAGGCATACACATATAGGAGGCCTTGTAATAATGATTATTTAATATTGATGGATTTTTATTTTTCATTCTACAGGTATTGCCTTCCCAACATGTGTCTCAGTAAATAATTGCATTTGCCATTTTTCCCTTCCCCTCAAAAGTGATCCAGATGTGACCAATAAAAGAATGGTGATGTAGTTAAAATGTAAGTTATGAAATCTTGTTATGTTTGTTAAATTAATTTGTTTAAGTAAATCTACAATATTAGAATGCGTGTTCAGTGTGACAGTCAGGTACAATAAAAATTGTAATTAGGACACTTGTGAACGCAGAACATGTGCAAAGCAGGCGCAGGTTTGTGTTAATCTACAGTGCATAATTCCTGCACTAATTTATCATGCATGCACAAAAATTGTAAGCAGTGGGTACATGTTTGTAAAATCATCAGAATGAATGTTTGGTATAGGGATATGAACTAATGTCATTGCCATCTTCCAATTGTTAGGAACAGTCTAAACCCGGTCTCAATTGCATGTCTGCTTTCAAAAAGTCATCTCAGTCTGATTCGTAAATATTTTAGCCATGTCATCTTGATTCCACATTACTGTCCTAAGAAAAAAAGTAATGGATATTACATCTGCTGACAAAGTACTTTCAGTTCTCAAATGATTCATCAAAAGTTAGTCACTTGATTTTTTGTAACAATTAACTTCAATTTTGAGCTTTACACATGTCATATGAAATTTAAAAAGATGATGGTGTTTGAATCAAGGTATTTACTGCCTTGTTTGTATTTCCCAGTGCTTTTTGCTTGTCTATTTTGAAGAACTTGTTAAAAGTTTCTGTTAAATTTGAGACCCCTTTTCCAAAGTATGCCAAAATCACGCATTTTTTTCCCGAAGAAAAAGGCTGAGGCCCCTCCCAAAAAAATTGGGGTGTTTTTGGCCCCTGATTAGCCTCAAAAATGTATCATGAATTTGAAAGTTTTTAATGTGATGTTGAGAACCTTAGACTCAAAGCATGTGTGTTATAAATGTGGTTGCCTGGTCACAGACTTCAAATCACATGCCTCTCACTGCACGGGTGCAAATCCTATCAGTGACATGGGTTATTTTATGTGAAACGAAATTTATGCATTTTGACGGGTCAACTCCAGCATAGAATTTAGCACTGGCCTGGAGGCCCATGAGGCCAGTGAAAGTTTGGGCCAGTGTATATTTTAAGAAAATTTAGTTAGATATATAGTAGAAATAAATTCAAGACTGGAATTGGGGCCAGTAAATTCAAAATCTTAAAATTCAATGACTGCAACTTTAGTGGCTGCTTGTACTTGAAATAATGAATTTAAAGTGAATCCGAGTTCTCTTTTCACTTAAAAAAATCTTTAAAGTTGCCATGACATTGTCAGTGTAAGTAAGAACTTAACAAATCAAAATAATGTTGTGAAATGTCTTCAAAAAGTGTAGAATTTTAGATACTTGGTGTATAACATGTTGAGGAGCCCTTACATTAGTTAAATGAGCCACGACATGACAAAACCAACATAATGGGTTTGCGACCAGCATGGATCCAGACCAGCCTGCGCATCCGCGCAGTCTAATCAGGATCCTTACTGTTTGCTATCAGTGTCTCTACTTGTTATAGGGTTTGTAAGCGAACAGCATGGATCCTGATCAGACTGCGGATGCGCAGGCTGGTCTGGATCCATGCTGGTCGCAAACCCATTTTGTTAGCTCACCTGTCACAAAGTGACAGGGTGAGCTTTTGTGATCGCTTTTCGTCCTGCGTCCGTCCGTTTGTCGTCCGTCCGTAAACTTTTACTTTAAATGACATCTCCTCATAAACCACCAAGCCAATTTCATCCAAACTTCACAGGAATGTTCCTTTGGTAGTCACCTTTAAAAATTGCTCAAAGAATTTAATTCCATGCAGAACTCTGGTTGCCATGGCAACCGAAAGAAAAAACTTTAAATATCTTCTTTTAAAAAAACCCAAAGAGCTAGAGCTTAGATATTTGGCATATAACATCTTCTAGTGAGTGTCTACCAAGTTTGTGCAAATAAAAGCCCTGGGGTCAAAATTGGCCCCGCCCCATGGGGTCATTGATTTTCCCTATATGCATATAGTAAAAACTTAAAAAATCTTCTTTTAAAGAACCCAAAGAGCTAGAGCTAAGATATTTAGCATGAAACATCTTCTCATGAGTGTCTACCAAGTTTGTTCAAATAAAAGCCCTGGGGTCAATATTGGCCCGCCCCGGGGGTCATTGATTTTCCTTATATGTGTATAGCAAAAACTTAAAAAATCTTCTTTGAAAAAACAAAAATAGCTACAGTTTAGATATTAAACATGAAACATATTCTAGTGAGTGTCTACAAAGTTTGTTCAAATAAAAGCCCTAGGGTCAAAATTGGCCCCGCCCCGGGGGTCATTGATTTTCCTTATATGTGTATAGCAAAAACTTAAAAATCTTCTTTGAAAAAACCCAAATAGCTAGAGTTTAGATATTAAGCATGAAACATCTTCTACTAAAACTGGCCCCGCCCCAGGGGTGTCATTGTTTTTAACTATATGTGTATAGTAAAAAATTAAAAAATCTTCTTTTAAAAAACCCTGGAATGAGCTAGAGCTTAGATGTTAAGCATGAAACATCTTCTTATAGGTGTCTACCAAGTTTGTTCAAATCAAAGCCCTTGGGTTAAAATTAGCCCTGCCCCAGGGGGTTGAGTAGCCCTTACATTAGTTAAATGAGCCACGACATGACAAAACCAACATAATGGGTTTGCGACCAGCATGGATCCAGACCAGACCAGCCTGCGCATCCGCGCAGTCTAATCAGGATCCTTACTGTTTGCTATCAGTTTCTCTACTTGTAATAGGGTTTGTAAGCGAACAGCATGGATCCTGATCAGACTGCGGACGCGCAGGCTGGTCTGGATCCATGCTGGTCGCAAACTCATTTTGTTAGCTCACCTGTCACAAAGTGACAGGGTGAGCTTTTGTGATCGCTTTTCGTCCGGCGTCCGTCCGTAAACTTTTGCTTTAAATGACATCTCCTCATAAACCACTTAGCCAATTTCATCCAAACTTCACAGGAATGTTCCTTTGGTGGTCACCTTTAAAAATTGTTCAAAGAATTTAATTCCATGCAGAACTCTGGTTGCCATGGCAACCGAAAGAAAAATCTTTAAATATCTTCTTTTAAACTACCCTAAGAGCTAGAGCTTAGATATTTGGCATGAAACATTTTCTAATGAGTATCTACCAAGTTTGTTCAAATAAAAGCCCTGGGGTCAAAATTGGCCCCGCCCCAGGGGGTCATTGATTTTCCCTATATGCATATAGTAAAAACTTAAAAAATCTTCTTTTAAAGAACCCAAAGAGCTAGAGCTAAGATATTTAGCATGAAACATCTTCTAGCAAGTGTCTACCAAGTTTGTTCAAATAAAAGCCCTTGGGTCAAAATTGGCCCCGCCCGGGGGGATCATTGGTTTTCCCTATATGCATATAGTAAAAACTTAAAAAAATCTTCTTTTAAAGAACTGTTAGAGCTAGAGCTTAGATATTGGCATGAAACATCTTCTAGTGAGTGTCTACTACAAGTTTGTTTAAAATAAAAGCCCTTGGGTCAAAATTGGCCCCGCCCCAGGGGTCATTGATTTTCCCTATATGCATATAGTAAAAACTTAAAAAATCTTCTTTTAAAGAACCCAAAGAGCTAGAGCTAAGATATTTAGCATGAAACATCTTCTAATGAGTGTCTACCAAGTTTGTTCAAATAAAAGCCCTGAGGTCAAAATTGGCCCTGCCCCAGGGGGTCATAGATTTTCCCTATATGCATATAGTAAAAACTTAAAAAAATCTTCTTTTAAAGAACTGTAAGAGCTAGAGCTTAGATATTTGGCATGAAACATCTTCTAGTGAGTGTCTACCAAAGTTGTTCAAATAAAAGCCCTGGGGTCAAAATTGGCCCCGCCCCAGGGGGTCATTGATTTTCCCTATATGCATATAGTAAAAACTTAAAAAATCTTCTTTTAAAGAACCCAAAGAGCTAGAGCTAAGATATTTAGCATGAAACATCTTCTAGCGAGTGTCTACCAAGTTTGTTCAAATAAAAGCCCTTGGGTCAAAATTGGCCCCGCCCCGGGGGATCATTGATTTTCCCTATATGCATATAGTAAAAACTTAAAAAATCTTCTTTTAAAGAACTGTTAGAGCTAGAGCTTAGATATTTGGCATGAAAAATCTTCTAGTGAGTGTCTACCAAGTTTGTTAAAATAAAAGCCCTTGGGTCAAAATTGGCCCCGCCCCAGGGGGTCATTGATTTTCCCTATATGCATATAGTAAAAACTTAAAAATCTTCTTTTAAAGAACCCAAAGAGCTAGAGCTAAGATATTTAGCATGAAACATCTTCTAATGAGTGTCTACCAAGTTTGTTCAAATAAAAGCCCTGAGGTCAAAATTGGCCCTGCCCCAGGGGGTCATAGATTTTCCCTATATGCATATAGTAAAAACTTAAAAAATCTTCTTTTAAAGAACTGTAAGAGCTAGAGCTTAGATATTTGGCATGAAACATCTTCTAGTGAGTGTCTACCAAAGTTGTTCAAATAAAAGCCCTGGGGTCAAAATTGGCCCCGCCCCGGGGGTCATTGATTTTCCCTATATGCATATAGTAAAAACTTATAAAATCTTCTTTTAAAGAACTGTAAGAGCTAGAACTTAGATATTTGGCATGAAACATCTTCTAGCGAGTGTCTACCAAAGTTGTTCAAATAAAAGCCTTGGGGTCAAAATTAGCCCCGCCCCGGGGGTCATTGATTTTCCCTATATGCATATAGTAAAAACTTATAAAATCTTCTTTTAAAGAACTGTAAGAGCTAGAGCTTAGATATTTGGCATGAAACATCTTCTAGTGAGTGTCTACCAAAGTTGTTCAAATAAAAGCCCTGGGGTCAAAATTGGCCCCGCCCCGAGGGTCATTGATTTTCCCTATATGCATATAGTAAAAACTTAAAAAATCATCTTTTAAAGAACTGTTAGAGCTAGAGCTTAGATATTTGGCATGAAACATCTTCTAGTGAATGTCTACCAAGTTTGTTCAAATAAAAGCCCTGGGTCAAAATTGGCCCCGCCCCAGGGGGTCATTGATTTTCCCTATATGCATATAGTAAAAACTTAAAAAATCTTCTTTTAAACAACCCAAAGAGCTAGAGCTAAGATATTTAGCATGAAACATGTTCTAATGGTTGTCTACCAAGTATGTTCAAATAAAAGCCCTGGGGTCAAAACTGGCCCCGCCCCGGGGGTCATTGATTTTCCTTATATGTGTATAGCAAAAACTTAAAAATCTTCTTTGAAAAAACCCAAATAGCTAGAGTTAAGATATTAAGCATGAAACATCTTTAAGTAAATATCTACAAAGTTTGTTCAAATAAAAGCCGGGGGTCAAAACTGGCCCTGCCCCAGGGGTGTCATTGTTTTTAACTATATGTCTATAGTAAAAACTTAAAAAATCTTCTTTTAAAAAACCCAATGAGCTAGAACTTAGATGTTTAGCAATTGAAACATCTTCTTATGGGTGTCTACCAAGTCTGTTCAAATAAACAAATAAAAGCCCTTGGGTAAAAATTGGCCGGGGGGAGGGGGGGCTATATACAGGTGAGCGACCTCAGGGCCATCATGGCCCTCTTGTTGGTTTTGTCGTGACAGGGCTCAAATAAATCATAATGACTTATTATTCCAGTGATTTGGGAGCACAAATAGATGGTTTTATTGCAGTTGTTGCTCATACACTAGTAGTGGGAGCATCAGAGGTAAGATGAAAGCTTTAATTTATAAATGTTTGATATTTACCTGTGTTTAGCAGAAGAAGTAACCACATGAAATATCACAAGTTAGTAGCCCAACAAGAATTTTAATGGCATAATTAAACACAAAAATAAAGAATGAATTAAAATTTCCTATTGAAATGAGTACAACAATTAGTTCCTTATATATTATACATGTATGTAGGTTGTACTTAATTCACTAAATAAATACAACAAAAATAAAAGAATGGGCTAATGTGAGGAAAATTAGCATCAAGTCATAACATAGTATTTACAAGCATGAACATTTGTTTTCATTACCAAACTTTCTAGATATGAAGTGCTAAATTTATATAGATTAATGTGAGATAATATATTGTATTATTAGAGTAACAAGGTAACTGGTCGTAAAGCAGATGTAATGATGGCAGCAGTTAATGCAGCAGAAATAGCTTTACGTATGGTCAAACCTGGTGCTGAGGTAAGTAAATCTTTCTATAACAACATGTGTAACTTGTACATATGTATTCATTTTACTGATGGGGAATGTTTTCATGTTATGACAGAGAATATTTTCACCTTATGATTTAGCTCAGTCATTAACTATACAGTTGTTGCATGAAAGAGAACCAGTGGTATACAGAAGGTTTTTTTTCACTTAAAGGGGGAAGAGGGTCGGTGCCCTTTGGAGGGGAAAAAATGCAATAGGAGGGGGAATTTTATTTCTTCACAATTGAGAAACAAAAAAGAATCCAGTGACCTGTAAGATTTACTGTTGTGCGACATTGTTTTCTTTCCGGAAGAAAAGGGGAGCAACTCTTGCAACACAAGTTTAAAGTATGTCGCTTTTACTTAATATACAGATCTAAAATATTGACAGGTGAATTTAAAGCGTCGCATGTTAAACTTGTTGGGACACCGGGAGTCCCCTTACCTACCCGGGAACGATTTGTAAACAATCTTGTTTAACAGTAAATCTTACAGGCATAAAATGAAACATTTTTAAGCAGTTAGTTGCAAAAAATGATATTCATTGCAGTCAAATTCGGGCTGTCGTATGGGGGAACATTTCGGCTTTGACGAGGGAAAAAAACATACTATTTTGAGATGGGAATGGGGCTGAATTTTGTCGAATATTTTGGTGGAAAATAAACAGAACTGGTATACCATCACAGGATAACATAATAAAGATAATGATGCAACTTATAACCTGATATTGTAGACGAAATTAAACTTTTCTTTTAAAAACTGTTATAGATCCCTGTTTACACAAATATCTGAAATAATTGATTTATGTTAGCAAACTGTAATAAAAGAGAATTGTGATTCCTAGTAGCAATGATGGGAGGTGTACTGGTAGGAAATTTATCATCATAGTGTATTGTTACTTTACAGAATTACACAGTTACAGATGGTATACAGAGAGTAGCAGAGGCATTTAAATGTAAACCTATTGAAGGTTAGTAAATTACAATAAACTAGTAAATATTTATACCCCCGCACAACAAAGTTGTAAGGGGGGTATACTGGAATCAGCTTGTCCGTCCGTCCGGCTGTCCGGCGGTTTTTTCTTGTCCGCCCAATAACTTAAGATTCCTTTGACCCTTAGTCTTCATATGTGGCATGGAGGTTAGTCATGATTAGTAGATGACCCCTATTGATTTTGAGGTCACTAGGTCAAAGGTCAAGGTCACAGGGGCCTTGACTTCAAAAAGCTTGTCCGCCCAATAACTTAAGATTCCTTTGACCTACAGTCTTCATATTTGGCATGGAGGTTAGTCATGATAAGTAGATGACCCCTATTGATTTTGAGGTCACTAGGTCAAAGGTCAAGGTCACAGGGGCCTTGACTTCAAAAAGCTTGTCTGCCCAATAACTTAAGATTCCTTTGACCTACAGTCGTCATATTTGGCATGGAGGTTAGTCATGATTAGTAGATGACCCCTATTGATTTTGAGGTCACCAGGTCAAAGGTCAAGGTCACAGGGGCCTTGACTTCAAAAAGCTTGTCCGCCCAATAACTTAAGATTCCTTTGACCTACAGGCGTCATATTTGGCATGGAGGTTAGTCATGATTAGTAGATGACCCCTATTGATTTTGAGGTCACCAGGTCAAAGGTCAAGGTCACAGGGGCCTTGACTTCAAAAAGCTTGTCCGCCCAATAACTTAAGATTCCTCTGACCTACAGTCGTCATATTTGGCATGGAGGTTAGTCATGATTAGTAGATGACCCCTATTGATTTTGAGGTCAAAGGTCAAGGTCACAGGGGCCTTGACTTCAAAAAGCTTGTCCGCCCAATAACTTAAGATTCCTTTGACCTACAGTCGTCATATTTGGCATGGAGGTTAGTCATGATTAGTAGATGACCCCTATTGATTTTGAGGTCACTAGGTCAAAGGTCAAGGTCACAGGGGCCTTGACTTCAATAAGCTTGTCCGCCCAATAACTTAAGATTCCTCTGACCTACAGTCGTCATATTTGGCATAGGGTTGGATATCGTTCTTCACGAAACGGTCCGATACCGATACCGGTACTGACGAAACGATACGGGTATTTTATCGATATTGATACTGATACTTTTACAATACCAAACCCGTTGCTGCAAGTATAAGGACTGAAGAGATATAACATGTAGTATTTAAATAGAAAATAAATATGTTACATTACTGGTCTTTCTGTAAAGTATACTTTTCTTTTGTTGTTTTGTGTTTATTTTTTTTTACAACATTTACACATGTTAATTGTAAAATACTTTTACTTTTTCATCAAAAGAACATGACATAATTTAAACACAGCAAAATATCTTATGCAGGACAGCAGTCTGCAGCTGAGAAGTCTACAAATTATTGTTTTAATCTTGATATCTCTACATCTGAAAGAATTTAAGACAGTTGGTTATCTATTATTTTCTTACAGCTCTTATTATTACTGTGTAGAAATTTTATTCTGATGCTGATATTCTTTTTAAATCACATTATTGTTTACTGTAATAATTGAAATCACTGGATTGGTTGGCTTACTTTGCAATTTGGAATTACATGTAAGAAATTTCATTAGATGTTTTTTCAAAGTCACTTATGTTTCCAGTCTGTTCTACTACAACAGCACAAACATATTTTCCACCAGTAATTAACTTAAAAAGTTAAAAGGCTGTACGGCTTTTACGGCTGTAAAAAGTCTCCCCGTACATTTAATCAATGATGTTATATTTTCGATCCTTAAAGATCGTTCAGCACGACATTATTGTTGTGCTTGTGGTATTTTTAGTTTCAACTTTTCGGCATTTTCTAGTTGGGTGGTTCCAATATTCCTACTTGAATAATGTTGAATCACCCTTAGGATATGTTGCCTGCTTTTTAAATTTGTCTTTTGACGTCTTATCTGTGATACGCAGGCTTCATAACCTCTGATCCCCTTTCAAAATTCCATTTTATTTAGTTCCGCCCATTGTTTTCTCGTTTAGGGCACACGCTTTTTATTACTTGGGATACGCCGCTTTTCATGGAATGGCACTTCTGTGTCACATTGAAGGTTCCATGATAACCGCCGTATGAACACATCTGCGGATGTTTCTAAATTCAAAATTTTTCTATTTCACGTTTAAATGTTGAATTCTGCTTAAGCCGGTGCTAGGGGGCGTGGACGGTAACTTGCACTTTCCAGTACCGTCCATGAACAGGCTCAATCAAACCGAGCCTGCAACATTTTCAATTTTGCCGTGTTGGGCTCTCTTTAGGGATTCTGTATTTATCTATTTTAGAAATTTTGAAATACATGTATATGCACAGTCAGCACAGACTGTTTCCAAAATGACTTGTTTACATTTTCATGTTAACCTAATATTAGTCCTTGTAGAAGTCATAAAGCAAATACCTATGCTTTACAAATAATAAGGATTTGGTATTTATTAATATTGAATTTACCCTTCAATTTTATACATCTTTTATTTTTCAATAGCATGCACCGTGAACATCTTGCTACAGAAAAAAAGTATTGTCCTTACCAAATTGCATAATTCCATACTGCTCAAATAGGCAAAAATACTTGCCAACATTTGCAAAAAAAATCCTACAAAAGACTATATGAAATATGTTTCAGTTGTTTAAAGTATCACAGATCTAAATGTGTAATACACACAAGTGGACCTTTGACAGGTGCATAATAGGCTATTCAAAAAGAATATGCCTCCCTTTGATGTTGTTACTCTATCACCATCAAAGAGCCGCCGACATTCACACTTTTTG